CAATACTACCAAAGGCAATTTACACATTCAACACAATCCCAATATAAATACCAATCCCATTCTTCAAGGAGATGGAAAAGGTAATCTCCAGTTTCATTTGGAATGGAAAGAAGCCCCGAATAAGCAAAGCACTCCTTAAAAAAAAAAAGGTAGGAGGCATCTCACTCCCCGATTTCAAATCCTACTACACTGCCATGGTGGCTAAGACAGCATGGTACTGGTACAATGACAGATACATAGATCAATGGAATAGAATTGAGAACCCGGAAATCAGCCCATCTACCTATGGTCAACTGATTTTTGACAAGGAGATGAAATTTAAGTGGGGAAACGATAGCTTTTTTAACAAATGGTGTTGGCAAAATTGAAAAAATATCTGCAGAAGACTCAAGCAAGATCCATACCTCACTCCATATACCAAATCAACTCGAGGTGTATCATGGACCTAGGTCTAAAACCAAGGACTTTAAACTTCATTCAAGAAAAGCTTGGAAGAACTTTAGTGGTCCTAATCCACAACATAAAAAGTCTTCCAAGTATCCTGAAAAATCTACAACCAGGAGAAGATAAAATAGATGAATGGGACCTTCTAAGAATCAAATCCTTATGCACATCCAAAAACTTCTCAAATAGGGTAAAAAGGGAAGCCACAGACTGGGGAAAAATATTTGGAAATGGCACATCAGATAAGGAACTTATATCTAGAATTTATAAAATACTCCAGCCACAACGAGATAAAGGTAAATAATCCAATGGAAGAATGGGCTCAGGATATGAACAGACTCTTCACCAAAGAAGACATTCAGATGGCCAAGAAGCACATGAAGAAATGTTCAAAATCCCCAGCTCTCAGAACGATGCAAATAGTGAAGAGGTTTAACCGCTCCAAGCAGAGCTTCCGTCTAAGGCCATGGGAACAGACCTTTCCCAGGAATCTTAGGGAGGGAGGGAGGAAAGCGAGCCAGAAGCCCAGGGCTCCAGCCTTATCCTCACTGGTCAGCAGCACGGCGGGAGGAACGTGCTGCAGCTGGACTCCTGGAGAACACAGTTCTGCTCATAAGATCACCAGAATGACAGGGGCCCAGGCACCCTCCCCTCCGGGAGCCACACTGACGAGTCTGGGGAAGTTTGTGACTAGAAGAATCTAAGCATTCCTTCCTATTTGCAGACTTGTTGGTCTCAACCTTCCTCTGACCCGGAGAGTTAGGGGGATCTTCTCGGCAACTCACTGTGAACGCTTGGAGCGTCTCATAACTGAGCCTCCCGTGGGTTTTCAGAGGCTGTACACTGCATAGGAAGAGACGGTTCGTCCTTCTCTCGAGCACTAAATAGATCTGAACTGCCTGCCTTTGGGTTGGTAGTGAAACTCCTTACCCACTAGGCCACCAGAGCTCCCTCTAGAATATACTTGCTATGTGTAGTTATGTACCATAGTCAGGACTAACCCGTAACTGACCCTCCGCAGGGTTTTCAGAGGCAGTTAACTGAAGGAGGAGATTGCCTGTCTTTCTCCCATGGAGCAGCCGGTGGCCTTCGGGACGGCAGTGCAGCTTACTGTCATGAGGCCACCAGTGCTACAATATACTAGAATGGATTCAAGGGGCCCTGGTGGTCCAGCGCTTAAGTACTCAGTTGCTCACGGAAAGGGTGATGACATGAACTCACCTGGGAGAGAAAGAGCCATAGCAATCTGCTCCTGTAGAGATTACGGCCTGCAAACCCGTCTCGGCCCATTGGAATGGACACAATGGCATCTGACAACAGAATGCACTGAGAAAATGTGCTGATAGTGTGGGTTATTATTATTGTTGTTGTTGTTGTTGTTTTATCATTACTACTGTCTAAAGGCAAAAGGCAGCTGTTGCTGGGCCCAATGAGGCTTGGCCCGGCCAAGGAAGCCTCGCACTTCATCCTCCTCGGCCTGTCCCCACACGCTGCTCCCCAGGCCGGCCTACAGCCTGCTTCTTTCCGTAAGGAAAGTGCCTGGCATTTGTCAGGAGCTCAGGTGTCTTGAAAACTCCAAAGGTGAAACGTAAAACTCTCCCTGTGTGATTTTCCTATTTGATCTCGAGGCTCAAGTATTCCCCCTGGGGATGAACAAGAACCGCTTCTCTGAATAATTCATGGGCCCCTAGATGGAAACATGCGGCTTCCTTTTAATAAAAAGGCTGGGGACCCGGCGCTGATTATACCTCTCCTTCCGAGCGTGAGCGGATGCACGGAGTGCTGGGATGCTCTTCCCAGCTGCCTTTCCCAACAGTGAGAAGAGAATGAAAAGCCAGGCAATATTTATAATCAAACTGACTAATGTTTGGATAATAGGTGAAACTATTTATAAACCAAAATAGAGTCGCAAAAATGGTCCTAAAAAGAAAGTGAAAAGAAAAATCAGTCTGATTTTCTCCAGGTCTGGCTTCTTTTTAAGACTAAAAAAGGGGCCCAGTTGTTTTTTCATTTAAGGAGCCCCTACTAGGTGCCGGGGTCCCTGAGCGGCACAGTGACTACTCACTGGCTACTTGTGAGGTTTGGGCCCGCCCAGAGGCTCCTCAGAAGAAAGGTCTGGTGATTTCCTTCTGAACATTCAGCCTGAAGACCCTGTGAAGCACCCCAGGCTCGGACATGAGTGATTTGCTGTGACTGGATTTGGTTCGATGGCACTCAGTTTGATTCTGGGATTAGCAGAGATGCCAGGGACATGAAGCCCTGGTGGTGAGTAGTGACAAAGTTAAGGATTGGTTTGCTCACTGAAAGGCTGGAGGTTCAAATCCACCAGCCACTGCATGGGAGAGAGTCATGGCAGCCTGCTACAGGTAAAACATCATGAAGCTCCATTGGGAAACTCTGTTCTGCCTCATAGGGCTGCGGATGAACGGCTGAAATGTGCTCTGGCAATGGTTCCCAGGCTGAAGAGGCCAATCTATTGGTTACTTCTGGATGAAATGTCTTTTATCTGCTCGTTTCTGTAAAACGCTTGTCTATCAGATAACAGTTTTAAAGCTGAGCAGTCAAATTAAGACAGACTAGGAGGAAGGATTGACCATTCACTTTCAAAAAGACAGGCCTTTGAAAACCCTATGTACAAGAGAGCACACTTAGAGTAGTCTAGCAGATACAGTAACTGAGACTGAGCCTTCAAATATGGAAATATAAAGGAAGAGGAACAGTTGTACTCAGACACTCATGACTAGAACATGGAATATAAGAAACACGAATGCAGGAAAACTGGACATTGTTAAGAAAGAAATGGAACACACAGATATCGACAAACTAGAGATTGGCAAAATGAGATGTACTGGCATGGGGCATTTTGAAGCAGACAATAATATGATCTACTATGTCAGAGGTTTGCTCTACCAATTTTTCAATTAGCCTTTATAGGACATTTCCAAGGTATATAGGCTTCTAGAGGTCAAGGCCAAGGTTTCGCAGGGGGAGGGAGCTGCACCTGTACTCTTCATGGTGCTTTGTTCGGAACATTAAGCTGCAAGCCAGTTGCCACCAAGCGGAGCAGTCCCCTCCCCTCCCACCCTGACTCGTATTTACAGCACTGCTGTGAGGACTGGAGAGATATGAAGGCTTTGGGATTCTCTGGAGAACAAATCACTCATTACTCACAAAACCACATCCTTTACACTGGACAGAAACCCACAGCCTGTTGGGTCAGACACTTTCATTTCACAAAAAGGAAAGTGAGGCGTGGAGAGCTCAGTCATTCCCGCTGACACTGAGAGCCAGCAAGGCCACCGGCGCACAGCCCGTCCTGGGCCCCCGCCAGGCCTCACTCTCCTGTCACACAGCCCTGTCTGATGACTGATGCCAGCCCCGGGGCTGTCCACTGGGGGACACCTAGGGCTCACCACCAGCTTTCTTTTCCTCTGGCTCATTAAATCAGAGGTGACCCACTGCCAAGCAGGAAATGAACTGTCAGAACTGCAGCCAGGCACCAGCCCTCTGCTGGAGAGCAGGTGGGCTTCTTACCAGTTCAAGACCCTTGGGAGAAAAGAGCAGTGGACAGAGGCTTGGAGAGGTTACAGTCCACAGACGTGTCTTAGGGAGGGACTATCCACGGGGACTGGGCCAGCTCTCGGACTGCCCACAGCTGGGAGGACGGGAGCCACGAAGCCACCCGTCTATGACGGATGAGCGGCCACCACAACCACATGCAAAGTGGACCATCTGTGAGCAAGGAGGCCCGGGACCCCATGTGCTTTCTTTCTAGTCTGCAGCAGACAGGAGATGTAGTGACAACATGTGACACTGCCCACCGCAGACTAGAAAGAAATGCAACGGCGGTCATGCTCACCCTGCTGACTGCTCCTCCCTTCTTGTCAGGACCGCCAATTTGGGAAAAGGCTTTGATTCCACAGGAAGGCTCTATGGATTGTAACTTAAAAATGAGTTTGGGCTCCAGAGCATGAGCCAAGCTCAGAAGCAGATTCAAATGGGAATAAAAGTCGTGAACTTGCTCACTATTGCGTACTAAGTAAGCACAACTCGGGTCAGGCTAACCTTTGCCGGCTCACAGACACTGTCCCTGTGCAGTCTGAAAACGAGGTGACTTACCTGTGTGCCTGGTCCTCTCGCTGGAAGGAACCCTGACTAGCCTGTGAGACAAGCTGCAGTCTAAGGCGCGCGCGCTCTCTCTCTCTCCCTCTCTCAGTTCCTTGAAGTGCCCTCTGTCACCCTGGTGCATGCACTGCTGCAAGGAGTGCAGACACAAAGGACGGTGGTCTCTGTGAGACCCCGAAGCCCAGGGCGTCTGCTGCCGCTGGCTAGAAGGCCCTGAGCACCTAGCAGGGTGGCCAGGCAGCGCTCAGGCTGTGCACGGCTAAATCGGAAGGAAACATTTGTATAAACATCAAGAAAAGCATCTGTCAGCTCTGATCAACGGGAGCCTCGTCTTTGGAACCGGAAGAAGGGTCTGGGAGCTGTCAGCTCCCACAGCTTCTGAGCGGGCCCCCCTGTGAGCCCAGTGGACGCACCCCTGGCTCTGGACTCACCAGTCTCTGCATGCTCTTCACGTGGGTGGGGCTGATGGCCAGGGCCTCCTCATACCAGCGCTGGGCTTCGTCGAGGTTCCCCCGCAGCTCGGCCACCTGGCCTCGCATGTACAGGACATTGTGCGACATGGGGAAGAGGTTGGCGGCTTCCTGGGTGCACGCTGTGGCTTCTGCGGGCTTCCCGATGCCGATGTAGACTTCAGCTGTGGGGGGAACAAGAGCAGATGTTTCCCTGCCTCACAGCCCTTCAGAGGCCCTGGGGGCCCCTGCTGCTCAGGCAGGAGACCCAGGGGACCTTGACCTTCCCCTAAGGTGGTGGCAGGAGCCCATATGGATGGGCAGAGTCTGGAGCTGGTTAGCCCCCACTGCAAGAGGGAACGCCTGGAAACCAGCAGTCCTAGGTGTTTACACAAAGACTTGAGTTACTCTTTGCACGGAGCTCTAGGGCACAGACTGATGTCCCCATCAAGGGCAGAAGGGAAGCCTACCTGGAACCTCAGGGCCTACCTCTGGCACCTCAGCATGGGGACAGAGGCTGGCCCTGCCTTGCCCTCTACCCTGACAATCACAGAGAAAGGGCCAGAGGCACACAGGTACATGCAGACCAGAGGTGATGGCGCTGCCCTCTGCCCGCTCTCCTGCCATCACAGGGCAGCCTTCTGTGTTATGGAGTCCTGGTGGTGCAGTGGTTAAGCACTCCACTGTTAACCGAGATGCAGGAGTTCAAAGCCACCCAGGGGCTCTGCGGGAGAAAGATCCAGAGATGCACCCTACTGAGAACACAGCTTGGAAAACGCTCGCGGGGTAACTGTCACAGAGGCCTGCTCCGAGTCAGAACAGCAAAGCCATGGCACCCGTGGCTGCCCACCACACTGTGCCCTCCGGCAGGGCAGTTCACAGACCCAGTGACCAATGGTGACATTCATAGGTCCCTCTAGGAAACCCAATGGTCACTTTCACAATGAGTAGGAAAATGACTTTCATTCCCGCTCGGCTGGATACCCTGCTTCCTGAGTGGAGTCGCTTTGGGTTTCTCCTCAAGGCCCTGCTGGGCTCTTCTAGGTGCCCTTGCCGTCTCAGCAAGGGGCCCTCCTCCTGACCCTCAGTCCTCTTCTCTGGAGGCCGTATTGTGACCCCTCGCCATCCTCCCCAGCGGCCAGGCCTGAGTCCTTTGCCCACTCCCTCCCCTTGCCCGGCTACACCTGTTGGGCCCAGTCCTGCCCTGCTGCGGGATCCGGGATCCCGTATGTATGCTGGCTCCTCTCTAACCCCTGCTGAGCCCCTTCCCTGTCCGTCCTGCCCAACTCCCAGCCTCCTCTGCAGGCATGGGGCCCAGTGACGTATGTGCAAGTATCAATTACACGCGGAAATGATTTTGTGCTAACACACACGCACACTATCAGGCACACAAAAATAAGAATAACCAACCATATAAGGTCAAAAGAGCAAGGATAGAGCCCTGACAGCAGGAAGGGGTAGAATAGAAGGATGGATGGAGAGGGGATTCACAAGGCGGGAGTGGGAAGATCACAGTTATCAGTGTTGTACTTAATGTTACAGAACAAAATGTGTATGACTGCTTGAACAAACCCAATTTGCCTCCTTATAAACATCCACTCAAGTCACTATAATAATGATTATTTAACAACAGTAAAATATTATTATACACATATAACAATTACAATAGCAATAAAACAATAATTATTTTTTAAAAGAAAGGATGTGAGAATGAGAAAAACTGGATAAATTATGTATACTGCATGGAAAAAGATGAGGGAGAGAACAGTTTAAAAGCAATATATTATAGGGCATTATGATGATCATAAGAGTCTGGAATGAAGGTTGCAGAGTGGAGTATACTCGGGGTGGAGGCAGTGGGGTGCGGGGGGGACTCTATACTAAGGAAGGAATTTTTCTTTTACTTTTCAAAGAGAAGAGCGTACTGGGGGTGGGGGTGGGGTGGGCGGAGAGAAAAGTGCAACAATGAATGAATGGAAATTCAAAATCTCTGTAAATGTTCATTGAAATTCATAAGGATTTAAAAAAAAAGGCTGTGATAAGAAAGGTCTAAGAAAATAGGTCTGCCTTTTCCTTACAAATCCTAGGAGCTGTCTGCTCCAGGGCACCTCAGAAACAGCCTAGATGTGGGGCCTGGTCCACCCCCAGCTCCCATTCCCTCCTCATGTGGACAGCTTCCCCTACGGCCGCCTCCACACTGACCGCTCAGGCACAGCCCTGGCAGCCAACCGCCTCTCAAACATCCTTCCTCCCTGCTCTTCCTCCGCCCACATCCCTTCATTTCCTCAGGCCTTCCTCAGATGTCCACCCAGTGAGGCCTGCAGGCCTGCTCTACTCAAGCCTGTGTTTCGGGATCTGGGGAGCGTGGTCTCTCCCCTCCCCAGCCTTGTTTCCGCTCAGTGCTGACCAGGAAGAGGCAGCGGCGGGGCGCGCAGCGATGTCACACAGCAGTCCCCTCTGCTCTGTAAGGCTGCTATCGAACTAGACGCCAGTGGGCAATGATGATGGTTTTCTTTCATTTCCATGTCTCTCTGTTCATCTGTCTCCTATGCTAGAAAGTGAGCACTGAGGGCAGGAATGGGGCTTGGGCGGTTCATCGCTGCGTCCCCAAGACACAGGGCTGACAGATGGCAGAAGTCCAGGAGAGAGCTGCAGAATCAGTGAATGGATGAATGAATGAATGAGCGACCGATAAAAGTCACAATAACAGCGACTCACTAAATGCCACCAGCACTGTTGTTGAGTGCCGTTGAGTCGTAGGTGACTCATAGCGACCCTATGAATGAAAGTCCTCGACACTTGTGTGACTTTCATCCTTTCTCCAGGTTCACAGGGTTTCCAGAGGCAAGCTATTTCGGAAGTGGATGCCACTCCTGCTTCCAAGCTTGTTTTAATTGGGGAGCTCCACCAGACACTATCCACCATGGGGAACCATTCATTATTGCATTTGACTCATCAGTGTCACAGTGTTCAGCTTCAAAGCAACCACAAGTTACCTCTGTATGGTAAGTGGACAGACCAGGGCTATACGACCTAGAAGAATGTTTGAACAAAAACAAGCCTGAGGGCCGCGGATTAGAGTCACCCACCTTTGGCTTAGTAGCATCACTTTCTGTTCACTAGGCCAAGGGATCACTAGTTCTCATTTTATCTGCATGGTGATTTAGTGAGGCAGGCATTATTACTACCCCCATTGTACAGATGAGGAAACTGAGGCTCTGAGAAGTTCAGGAACGTGCCCAAGGTCCCAGGGTAAGTGGGCGGCAGAGCCAGGGTCAGAGCCCAGGCATGCTGGGTACGGGCTGCTCTCTCATCCTCCACAGGGACACGTCTCCTCAGCCGTAGACTAACACCAGGTTCCCGGCCCGGCCCTCAGAGCTCTCTGACTCCACAGCCTCCCTCATGAGCTAGCTGGTGTTTCCTCTGCTTCCAGCACCACCCGGCTCTGGTCATAAGAAGCCTCGTTCCACGCCCTGGACACAGAGTGGCGACTCCGTAATAGCCTGGTTTCTTCTCCTCTTTGCTCCTGCCACTGACACTGCCCGGCCTCCTTCAATCTCTGTCTCCTCCATCTCTTCAGCTGAAAGAGGCCCCCACCCTCTGCTCCTCTCCAACAGCCTGCAACACTAGAAGTATTTCCATGGCAACGTTGGTGTCCCCTGTGGACAGGAACAATCCAAGGGCAGCCTCTGCTGTAGGCCCAGCTTCTAGCTCACGCTGGGAGAGGGCAGGAGTGTGTTACCGGCTGACTTTCACCCCTGCCAGCCTGGGTGGCCCTGTTCCCTCTGCTGCTTACCCAACCCCCACCCCTGGCATATCCGGTAACACCAGTGACTGATCCCCAGGCCTGACCATAGACATTCCCTCTGTACGTCTTGTCTGTCTGTCTTTCTGTCTGTCAGCTCCTTCCTCAATAGGGAGCCTAAGAGATGGCTGACTGGCCAAGGAACCCTAGTGGAGGGGTGAACGAGCAAGTCCCAAAGAAACGGACACTCAGTGATTCCAACAGAACTCGTCCTATAGGTCATCTGTCCCTGGCACCTACCTCCCTCTCACGCCCTGTTCTCAGGAGACTCAATGTCAAAGGCACTGACTGAGCACCTGCTGTACACAGGAGACTTGGCAGGAACGAGGGAGGCATGCATGTACGTGGGACGTGGTCACCCTCCCAGTGACAGTGCCAGGCACTGCAATGTCCCTCAGTAACTCAATTATTTGATAGAGTCATATGCGTACCGCTGCAGGGTTGGGGGACTCAAGTGTGGCCACTGCGTGGGCAAGCTGGACAGAACGCTCTTCTCATGTACACCTGGCCCCTGACTTGCTTCCATCTAGGCGGCTGTGGTGAAAAGGTGCACCATGCCTGTCCCGTCTAGGTCACCAGGAGAGAGGCTCATTGGGTTCAAGGTGAAAGCTGAATGTTTCCAGAGATTCTATAACAAGAACTGAGGTAGGTGGCATGGGTTGTATGTAATGACTTGAAGTGGAAGCTAGCTGATGATCCCTCAGGAGCTGATAAAGCAAAGAGCTCTGAGAGGATCAAGGGCTGAATGCGATACTCTTCAATCCCATCACAGCAGAGGACGTTTCTCTAGGGTGTGGCCTGCAAGATAAAAGTGGAGGATACTGAACTGAGGATGGGGAACTTCTCTCCCTCCCTGAAGGAACTGCCAGGAGTACAGTGTGTCCTTCTGGCCTTGGGCCTCTGTTTGGGGATGGTCTGCGACACGGGAGGAGGCCAGAGCACACGGAAGGCTCCAAGGAATTGTGAAGCCTGAGGCCGACAGATGCTGAAGGCAACAAGATCCTTTCCCAGAGCCAACCGGTGGAGAGGCTTTCCCTGCGAGTCGGCACCCTGAATCTGGATTTCTAGACGTCTAATTGGTAAAGAAAATAAATCTCAGTTTGTCCCATTCCCAAGAAAGGTGATCCAATAGAACATGGAAATTATTGAAAAAAATCTCACATGCAAGCAAAATGCTGCTGAAGATCATTCAAAGTCAGAATTGATGCCTTTGAACTGTGATGAAGAGAAGAGTGACGAGAAGAGTGCTGAATATTCCATGGACGGCCACAAGAGCAAACAAATATGTCTTGGAGAAGGTGCAGCCAGAGTGCGCCTTGAAGACAAAGTTGATAAAGGTCTGTCTCACATACTTTGGGCATGTTGCTAGGAGAGGTTATT